TTGTTATTATGCTTTAGTTTATCACAAAACATCACAATAAAATATTGTAAATTTGTGGAGGTTAGGCTTGAAAAGGATAAATAGGTATTATTACTTTTGCCTTACAATGTAAGATGTTCATTTACTTCTTAGCTTAAACTTAATTTTAAAAATGAAAATAGGAAATTATATTCAGCTTCACCAACCAAGAATAAGAGAACTCTTGTTCCAGAGTTCTCTTCAATTTGCAAACTACTTTACGATAGTTTGAACTGTCTGGATTACATACAATTCAGACAACTGTTTGTCTATAATTTTGGCCATATAAATTTTCACTTTTTACTCAAATAATTGAAATAGTATAAATAGCATAACGTGTTTATGACCTAAAAACAGAAACATAAAAAAACAAAAAAAAACTTGTTTTCAGCAAAGGAACTGTCACAGAACACCGATTGTATAACTGTGCCAATATTGCGGAGCAAACCCCCCCAGAGGGGCTTTTGGATCAAATATTGAATCTGCAGCTCAGTAATGAAAGGTCAACCAGAAAGAGAAACTGTTGCAGACCGTTATACATACCGGGTTTATCTCAGAGGAAGGATTTACGTAGCGATTAAAAGGGAAATATTGCTGACGTCCTGTAAACTTTATGTAGTTTATTGGACAGTTCATCTCCTTCATGATAACATGGCTACAATATGAACATTCTTTTTGCTAAATCCAGTACATTTGTGATAATATTGTGCATTCATTAGTATGTACTGTCCCACTTAAATAAAATCAGTCAATCAATCCAGTGACCAAAAGTGATCGATGGACATATAAAAATAATATCTGTCACACTCCCTTGAGCTGCACATTGTAAGTCTACTCCACAGAAGCACTGGTGCTCAAAACTCAAATAAAAACTCTGCAGTGTCTCCTGAGGGATCAGAACTTTCCTGGGTCTTCCATTTTCGCCCACACCACCCTGTATTCAGGTCTTTCCATCTTCCCGTCAAATCTAATCAGAGTTCTTGTCTGTGTTGAAGAAAAGAACCCTCAAAGCATATGCAGATTATTAACTGAAAAAAAACATGGATAATTTATTTACTACTTTTTCTTGTTTAGAACATAAAACCCGCCTAAAATAAATGAAGATTTGTGATTGTAAGGTGAAAAAATACATAAACTTTCATAAGTGTAAGAAACTTATGGAATACCGCAACACTCATAAGGTGTGAGTATTGCTATTCACAGTAACCAACCGATAGCTCAACATTGTTGAACCTCAAAGTTGGCTGCCCTAAAAGTATTTTAAAAATGAAAATGCGCTCCGTGTTCTTCAGGTAATGTGCTCGGACATTGTCAGGCACTATTTTTATTGTGGATTTATATCAGCAGTGACTTCACACTCTCCTCATTCCAGATCTGCAGATGCAGTCCTCCTGCTATCCGACTGGGCACACATCCAACCAATTTTCCAAGAACAGTGCTTCCAAAACCGTTCAGCTGCAAACTCTGACATTAATAGTGGAGGAGCATTACAACTCCAGAAATATGAGGCAGTACAGCACAAACTTTATTAAAAAGTTAGTTAAACATGAGCCTAATGTCGAGACAAACACCATAAAACAACTTATGAGCACTGATTTGTTTTATTTTTCAGTAACCACTTCAAAGTGAGATGAAAATGCAATTAGGAGGTCCAAGACATCAAGACTCAGAATCTCCAGTGCCTGATGAGGGTGTGACCCAGAAGAAATCTAAGCTGGAGAGGCAAGATGTTGAAACGCCACGCTTCAACACGAAGAGCTGAACTGAGCTTGAGCAAGTGAGTGACAGAGGGCATGATGAATGCAATGTGTACAGTACGGTATCAGCATGGAGGGGAATGAAAGCCACGTTCAAGCCTCCTGTCAGCAGACAGCAGCTTTTACCCCATCCGTGTTCTCCCTAGTTGCAACAGATGCACCACTGACAACTTCTTGAAGCTGAGAGGCAGCTCAGCATGAGGCTTTATTCCCCGCAGCTCCCTGGTTTCAGTCCGAAGGGTGCTTGAAAGCTGCCGAGGCTCAGCCGTTCACTTCGCTGAGGCAATCACTCCCAAATTGTAGGAAATGTAAATGACTTACATAATCAGCCTTTCTCTCAACCTAAATAACTTGAGTCAGCACTTTATAACGCGTGTACTAACTGAGTCAAAGTGATGGAAAATAATCAAGCAAGCAAGATGTTTTTTGGAGCTCATATTGCGGCGAACTTAAAGTCATGATACAAATAAATTAGAAGCTGATTAATTTTTTTGTTAAACTCTGTGTATCTTTTTAATTTTTTTATATGAAAGGATCCATATTTTGAAAAAAAATATTGAGAAACAATATCTGGCTTTAGAGTCTCACTTGTACACAAGTGTACCACAAACAGTGAATACGTCCTTCTACTTTTCCATCTTATTGTGGACTTTACTCCTCAGTTTCACATTAATTTCTATTGCAGTTGGCAGCTTTTGAAAGCCAAAAAACAAACAAACACTTTTTTCCTTTTGTATTGAGACATATTGTTCCAGAGTGCTACTGCCATCTACAGACCCAAGTTTCCATTTGTTACCTAAACACACAGTATGGATTTCCATCCTACTCCTAGCCCTAAACAAGGGCTAACGGGTGGACCAGGCTTGGCCCCCATAAGGCCCATTGATCTTCAGAGGATTAGTAAATATGGCAGTTATAGTTTAACATATTCAAAGTAGAGTGAAACTAAGTAAAATAGAAAAGAATATTAATTTGTTACCCCAGTGGAAAAATCCCCCAGCCCCTTTTAAGCAGAAAATTATAAAGCTTTTAGTGCAACATGAGATTAGACAGTCTCTATACCATTGGGGTCCACAGCTCCTGGGTAACCCTGGAAACGAATGCCTGCATGTTCATCCTCTTGTCACCAGCTGCAAGCAAACTGCATTACAGATCCCAGCTTGTTCCTCACATCACCGCTCAGGTAAAAGGTGGAAGGTAAAGGGTGTGTGAGGCCCGAAAATAGCATCCCTTTCTACTCAACACAACCAAGAAGCAGCAGGTGACATGCACTGAATGGACAGCTGCTCAGAGAGAAGTGGAAGAGATATTTTAAAAAATGTCATGCACTGGGATTATTAGCATACCCTTGTGTGAGTCTGTATGCAGGCTGTCACTGTATGGAAGCATAATGGGCGAGGACGTCTGCTCTCCTGCAGAACCAGAGGAATATGTATTATATCTTTCCTTTTGTAGGACGCATTTGTTCAGGACATGCTGTTTGGTGAAAGGGTCGTCATCGTTTCTGCCTTGTATCTTCAGTCAGATTCAGGGAACAAGGAAAAGCAATGACTGTGTCAGGAGCAAGACGGACGACTTGCATTCCACAGATGTCTGAGCCTTGGAAAAGTTCCCTGTACAAACCGCCACGTGTTCAGCTACTTACACTGAATGAAAACTGTAAAAGCTGAAAGAATCTCCCTCATGAAAGACAGCAGGAAAAAAAAAAATTGCTCAATCTGCCCAGGATGACTCAGCTTTTACAAAGAGCCCTGTAAGAGCACCTTCAAGGGTAGTGTGACCACTGATTCCTGTGGGTTTTATTCAACACGTGTTGCTGGTATACAGGAGGGAAATGTGGTTACACTGTCAGGCACACTAACTGGAAAACAGCTGTATTTAGATTGTTCGCCATCTCAGAGGAAATTAGGAGTACTGAGCAATGAGCTGACAATCTGAATTTCTCTCTTTACTTCTCTATACAGACTTAAGCTTAAATACAAGGTTTAAAATGCAAGTATAATTCATTATGGTTGTTGTTTTTGACTGCAAACCAGACAATCTATTTAAGATTTTTCCATTTTCCTCAACACATCCTACATTTTTGCTGTGCTTTTTAGGATTCAGAGCCGAGTAATTGAGCAAGGAAGGCAGTAATCCACAACAACCTCTGGGTGTTTTTCACACACACTAACTGCCTCTTTTAATCAATGTGCTGTTTGTGGCAGTGAAAGCCTGGAGAGTGCTGCCCCACTGTGTTTGCACTCAGTAAATGCAGCTGGTTCGCTAGAATGAGGCTGATGCACAGTCACCCCGACTCAACACAAGTTGGCCTTGTACCCGACAACAGAGGAACTCTCATCAGAGTCCATTATACACTTCCTGAGCAGCTGTCGGGAATGTGGCTGACATCCCACATCAACATCAGAACAACACAGAGCTGAAACATTAGGGAATTGCCTTTAAGTTAATACACTAATGCACCTGTAAGCTGGTGCCATTTGTGTAAGGTCCACTGGTTATGGCCACGTGGTTTGTTTTATTGTGTGCAAATAATGTAATTTTTGGTTCTACCTGGTATGTAAACTGTGTTGTGAGAGATTTTGTTCTGTTAAACTAAAACAAATTAACTCTGAAGAGCTACTACGTTACCTTAAAATTCAATATAACCTTATAATTAAATGAAATTGTTGCAAACTAACAAAGTAGCACTTAAAGCTGAGGTATGTCACTCAAAAAAAAAACATATTTGTGTGTCACTATGTTGTGATGGTATGAAACAGATTATCTGAAAGACATTCAAGCTCCCTTACTTCCTCCCAATGCTATTGCCATCTGCAGAAATGCATCAATCAGAGTAAGGACAGTCTGATTATATGTGTAAGTGCCACATACATGCGCATGATTGCCAGGCTAAGTCCCTTATTTTTGTTGTTTGCCCTGGGAGAAGGCAGAGCTTGATTTTTTTCAACAGTTTATCCATCTCATTTCATACCGTTACAACATAATTTTAATAAACATAAAAAAATGACATATTAACTTTAATAGATGGGAGAGGATATACGATTGTCACAATATTTCCTTTTGTATTCAGACACCATAGGTCGAGAGTTTTCACTTGGTTTGATCTAAAACCATCCCATTTTACATCTGCATGTTTCTTAAAGCTTGTTGCCCAGTGGTGGCTCTACTCTTAAGCTTTTTGCAGCACAGATTTGATTGGGAAAGCACACACTCAAAAACAAATAACAGCATGGATCAGTGTTTATTCAAAGAACATCATACAATCGAAACAGAAATGCAGTAGGTTAATTCAGTGCTTCGCTTAAGGCACACATTAAAGATCACTATCAGATGTGTAGAAATAATTTCCTACAGGTGTGTTAAATACAAAATGCTGGCAAGCTGTAAAAAAAATCTAAGCAAAACATTAATTTAAGAAGTACAATCAAAAAGGAAACATCAGTACCACTGACATGATACAGTTGGCTTAATTTTGTAGTTTATAACTTTGGCATAGTTACATAAGAGAAAATCAAAAACAGTAGGTCCTTTATTACAAGTAATGTCATTCTTGCATGCATCATATATTTTATTTTAACTTAGCTTTTAAACATTCGAACAGTCCAACAGCACATGAGCTGTGAGGGACACCAACTAGTCCAGCAGCGCTCTAACAACATGCAATAAAGTTGATTAAAGCATATTTTTATTATAGACATTTCAGGGAGTAAAAGCAAAACGTAAAATCCTGAAATGGTCTACAACGATGTTAAATATTTAAAAGGCCACTCTAATCTGAAATGCATCATTTTTTCATTACTGCTGACACAAAATGTTGTCAGATTTAAAGATTTGAGCTTATTATAGCCCATGATGCTGGTATAAAGAAGCTGTTGAGATTCAGGATTAACACTTTCTACAAAGTACCAGTTTTACTCTACTGATCTTTACGCCAGTCTCCCGCATACCAGCCATCCCATGTGTATTAAAAGTTCTTTATGGGAATCAGTGTGGCAGAAAACAACATTGCCTAAGTCTCTAGGAGGCTATTCCTAACTAATTTAAACAAACTGTGTTAAAATTCCCATTGGCTCCTTTCAGAGATTCTTCACGAATTGCATAAAAAAGGTCTGTAGTGTTTTTCCACCCTTTGTTTCCTAAAATGAGATTCTCTGATGTGCAATTAGATCCCTTGCATTTTTTTTTTAAATCTCCAGTGTAAAAAATAAAGAAAGAACCTACGAGCTAATTTGAGTATAGTACATGGCTTATACGGCTGCCTCCTTCACCCACACTCTTTTAGTATGGCTCTGCCTTCAGACTTCGGTATAGGCAGCATGTAAACACCATTCCAATAATCTGCAGACCAGAGGGAAGGAGGGTAACATAGATTATTATGTTTACTGAATACCTCCTTAAGTTGAAGCAAATATGTACACACTCACCTGTACACAAGCAATCCCAATGCCGACAGCTCCAATAATCTTCAGATGTTCCAGGGTGAATTTCTCCAGTTTGCTGATGCAACCGCCCTAAATGAAAAAAACAAACAGTGGCTTCAGGTAACATCAGTATACGTGGGAGTATTGTTGAAGTCTCACTTCAAACAAATGCTATATATGCAGTACAGTTCTGCAGCACATACTGTCTATACTGAAATTTCAGGACAAAAATACAGCTGAATAGCCCTCAGCGTGCAACATGTTCTCACCTCCACCTTGTAGATGTTGGAGGGGTGATCCCTTTGGCCGCATAAGTCAATTTCAGTCTTACAGCAGCTGTCAGGGACCTTCCTGCCCTTTGAATCTGCGCTGCGGATCCACTCGCTCTCCACCCAGTCAGTTGAGTTGTTGCTCCCACAACACTTGAACTGATGGAAAAGAAGGAAGATATGCATTTTCAATTAGGAAATGTAATCAAACCAAAACATAGAAAACTGTCACAATCAAGGAAAACGAAAAAGGAACTTTTTGTCAAAAAATGAAAAAAATCCTGCCTGTGTGGAAGAGAGACGAGCATAAGCCATTACATATAAGACAAACAGCAAACATGTATAAAATACAAAGGATAGATTGGTTTTATAATTTTTTTTGGTTGTTGCATTTTTATTTGGGATATTTAAAATATCTTCTGGTGTTAAGTGAAGCCTTTGAGAAGACAAACTTGATAAATGTCATTATCAATAGACTACTTGAAAATAGTCTCATTAACATTATTTTAAAGATATTATCTGGGACAATATATCATCCAGTAAAATATGTTATTAGCATTGCATAACTTCAGATAATTGCAAGAAGTATTGGTTAGAGGGAGCAGTGTAAGAATGCATGCCACACTTTTTGGACTTTCTCACAAATAAAAAACAAGCAAATTTTGTCTTGCAAAAGCATTATTTTCCAAGTCACTTTAGCTGTTCTTGGGTGTCAATTGAAAAAAAAAAAAGGTTTTTATTCCTCTAAAGTTTTAATAATCTAGAACATCACAGACACAGACAAACCTAACCAAAAACTATCATATTCATAGTTTTGTAGATTTTCAGGCTTTGCCAAAATATTATGGCAACATGCTGTAATATTTGTAGAAATAGCCATCTGGTGCATTCAACCATTTACTTACCTCTTGCTGCAGCTTGTCAACAGCCTTGGTGATGTGCATGTTTTCATCGCTCTGTCTGTACTTGTTGGTCATAGTGGCCTTCAGGTTCTGCTTTAGTTCATCATTCAGCTGTTAAGCCAAACAGACAGCCACATATCAATGCTGTAGCTACCCAGTACAATTACAATAGGCGTCTGAGCACAAAGCATGAACATAAGTGATGAATTAGCTGCGACAGCCAAGTTCACTAAATATAGCACACAAATAACACTGGGGATAAAACCTCTATTGTATCAATACATGTCACAGATGGCAGTTCTGCAGTCAGTAAGTAAAGCCAGTAAAAAGGAAAATAAAGTCTGTATTTCTCTCTATTCTTTAAGCAGTGGCAGAAAAATGCTCACTGGAGGAGCGGGAGGTCTGTGGGGCTCAGTTTCTATGGCAACAAGCCAGCTGGGGAACCACTGGAAATCAAAGCATGAAGGGGATATCAAGGGAATGAATGATGAAAAGATGAATGGAAGATGGAGACAGAGAGACAATAGACAGAGAGCTGATGGCAAAAAAGGAGAGGATGGAAAGTGAAATGAGGGTGTTAAGATTTCCATAATACCTGTTGACAGGTTGGGAAACAGAGTAAAGTGGAAACATCCAGAGACAGTATGGCACAGCATTCTCAGCATTGTTAATGCTACCAAACAGCTGCAGCTCCCCAGATTTTTTAAGCTTAAATGTTTTCTATGGAATATTTAGCAAATAAATAAGGAGATTCCCTCATTCTGAAACTTTAAGAGGGAAAGAACAAGACAGGTATAGCTAACCAAACACACGCGAGTTCCTCCATTAAAGCAGATGTCTTAACACTTTGCTTCTCTAATGGTACGTGTCATTTATAGTTGGAACTCGGAAACTAAAACTTGGTAGTTGGAAAAATAATAGAAATTCCCCTTCACGTTGTTCTGCCCACTTGGAAAGTGGGAGAGATTCTGACTGTGACCAGTTAAAATTTGCAAGTCCAACTTTGAGTTTCAATATGGCCGCTTCTTGCATCAACGGCAGTAAGTTGTGGTGGAAACATGTTTATTTAACAAGAAGACTGTTGACTGGTAGAGCATTGCCTCAGTTGTGATGTCAAAACCTCCTCTGAGAGAAATACAACACAGCATGAGCACTCATGTTTTTATCAGCACAATGCCAAGGTAGAAAGACATTAGCAATGGTCCCTAAAGAAATGACTGTAGATACAACTCCACAATTCATGCAGTGTCTATGTCACTCCTGAACAACTCAATGAACATATGAGTTTCTATATATATGAAATAAAGGAAACTGGGCCATGTAGTGGAAAAACTGGCTGTGAGCTATCTGAGAGAAATTAGCTCATAAAACCATAAATATTGTTCCAATCCAGAATAAGGAAAAGACATGAACCAATAATGTTTGTAAGCTGCTGATAAACTGGATATTTTTAATAATTGAAGTAGCTACACTGATTGCAGTACACTTCAAGACTCTCCAGTTGCTGAGCTACAAGCAATACAACTTTAGCTCAAGAGAAAGAGTAACGTGAAGTCAGCTTTGCTAACAGAGGATAAAGCACATCTTATTTGCTAATGTTAAGAGTGAAAGCAAGACAATATACTGAGATGGCTGTGAGGTTCAGCTTGGATTTTAAATTAGCTAAAATGAGATAAACCAAATATTTATACATTCAGGTGTGGAAACCGGCTCTAGTATAAGTGAGAAAATTCAAACTCAACAAATGGTCTCAAAGTGCTGACAAAGCATTCAGCCTTGATGTGTGTACTACTGGAGGCGTTTTGCATTCCGTTTGCACTAAATGTACCACAAGTAATATGGGCAGTCAGATATTCATATTTTTAATGGGCTGTCCCATGTTTCCTTCCAGCAATCTCATTTATCATGCTAGTTTTGTTGCATTTAGGATTACAGCAGAGCACAAGCCATGTGGGAAAAGAAACAGTTGTCTATGTTCTGTTTCAAGGCTTTTGACTGCGTGCTTGGATTAGGAGCCACAAAACACTGCCAGTATGCTCTATTGATTTTATAGTAGCACGCTTTGTACTGCTACACACCTTAAACTCATCTGAAGCCAGGTGATCACTTTTTGTTTAGTACAGTCACATCTACTTACAGCTGCAATGTAGATTTAATAAGGTTTGATTCAAAATTGTACTGTATTGAGATATTCATCTGAATATCTAGTGCTTTTTCCACACCAATTTTCAGAATGCAAGTAGCTGATTTTCTATTCATTCTATTTGACAAATATGGCTTACCTGCTGATAATAGATGTAGGCCAGGACACCAGCCAGGATCTCCAACAGAAAGATACATAGAAGCAGCACAAAGTACTGAGTACAGAAAGAACAGAGAAGAAACACAGTTATTGCACAGTAATGAGATGAAGAGACAACTTACTAATAAATTACATGTGACAGCTCAGTGGCTGTGTCTAATCCTGTTTCCCTTGATTTATCTCAAATAGTTTTTCTATTACAAAACCATTGCGTTATCTATACTTAAGCTGCAGCACTGCTACGAAAGTAACAAAACTGTGGTAACGAATTAGTTTGGTGGCATTCTTTTCGTCTTGAGTTAGAAATACTACTGTTAGACATTGGCCAACGGTACAACATTTTAACAACCTACAAAGCATCCCAAATCTGCACTAATACTATTTATTAATACTAGCAGATATACTGAAAACAGTTACAATAGCATTTATTTGGTATCCCAAACAGAGGATAGGATACCTAGATTTGTTATTTCACGTTATGTAGATGAAAATGCCTGAACAAACATGTGGAAAATGAAATAGGCACGCTTTCTGCCAATATATCCTGGCAGAAACAACAAAAGGAAACAGAGAAAAGTTTCCAAAACCATGCTGATTCTGCAACGTTAGCAATTAAAACAATTTTGCAGAGAATTCAGCCAATGTCTCTGCTCCAATCTTCATCAAGCAGACCACAAAGGAGGGATTCAACAAAATAAAATTACTTGAAACCCAAAGAGCAGTTTTATGAAAGGTTATTGCAGTTTTAGTTTTTTAATTGTAACATTGTAAAATCTTTGGATAACTGACTCATGACTATTGGAGAACACAGAGTGTTTTTCTAACAGTTCACTGAACTCTAGCCAGTGCTTGGTGAACTGTGTGTGATTGTGTGAACTGTCAGACTGAAAACTGAACCTATTAAAGAATATACTGAACAGTCTATTGTGTGCAATGTGTGTTTCACCTCCTTCAAACCCACACTGCACACAAGAGAAGCATGAACTCAAGTGTCTCTCTCTATACCTCCTAAACTCAGCTGCTAAGGAAAGGTATAAGGAACAGCAAAATAGCATTACTATGCATTTAGGACTGTATACAAAAGTAATGTAGTTACTGCACACATCAGTGTTAATATGAGGTAATCCTAAAGTAAAATGGGCACATATTAACCAATACCTATTTCTAATTTGTTGCCATTTGTGTATGCGTTTCTAGAGGGAAGGCATTTGCTTGGGAATGTTGCAATTATAGTGGTTGTGAGGTGTTAAAATGAACCAATGATGCAAATTCTGTGGGCATACAAGTAAAAAAACAACATGAAAATATGATTGTACATATTACATGTAGTACTGTGCTACAAATGAAGCCTGATGACATACAATAAAAATCTAATTATAAAAACAATACCCTTCCTTTTCAGATAATTTGAATTTTCAGCAATTTGACACAAAGTAATAGATAATAGAGCTTCAAACCTTCAATTTATCACAGTTATAATCTCTGCTTATTCGGAGAGGTTTGTTGTTCAGAGTTTATTATCAACATCTGATTCATGAACTGTGGAAAAAGGAGGGAGAGTGAGGCTTTGTCATTTCTTGCCAAAAGAAAAAGCAGCCTGTCCCTCTTCAGAATAGGAGACAAGAAGCGATATTATCTGACCAAGAGCTTGGCCTGAATTTTCCTTTGTCCGCCTCGATCACAGTGAGAAATTCAGCTTCGTGGTGGACTTAGTCTCCAACTTTGATGGCTCAGCCAGATTAAATCTTTGAACAGCTCTATGAAAGCTGAAGACGGGAAATGTTTGGAAGTTCAATAAAATACAAATGTGAATGTATTTTGAATGTAATAATTTTGAAAATGATTGGGACATTACCAGAAAAAACTATGCCTTTAACACGGGATTTTTAAGTGTTAGTGTGAAGTTACTCTAACGTTTCACCAAGAGTTAGGTTATCTTAATAATATATCATACAATGTGAAAATAACAAATAATTGTAACATTTTAAATTCCAGCAATATCTTTTTATTCCTTTAATATTTTATTTATATATTCATTTACTTATACACTTAAAATACATATTTTGTTTCTGGTTATTTTAACATTAGGAGTTTTCCCATATAGTTTCTAATTTTTATTAGTAAGATGGATTTTTTTTACGACTATAATTAAAGTGTAAGTATACAGCAAAGTAAGGTGCTGTGTACTTACTTTTTTTAGGAAACGCATACGTTTCCTAAAAAAAATACTCTGTCTTAAACAGACTGGAGTAGATATGCAGGGTGTCAACCTGTAGTTGCCTGTAGAGACTGAGTGACTGAGTGCAGACTTAAAAGGGCCTCTCATGATTTCAGGCCCATTTTCTCTCACACACTGTCACTTTACATCTGAGCCACAGTTCTTCTCCCTGTACACATCAGGGCACAGTGTAACTCCTGTGCAGTGTCAAAATCCTGTTGAAGCTTTGATTCCCACAGTACTGCATCGTGAAACAGCTGTATGTCTGAAAAAATATTTTATTTGTAGACAGCAAATATATCAATGTTGAATTTGACTATTTAGGCTCAGCTGATAGAAAAGAGGCTGCGGTTATCCTTGTTGTTGTGCACTTTTATCTGCCACACTTTTTTCCTTCCACTCAATGTTCCACTAATATGCTTGAATACAACTCCCTGAACAGATACCATATTTAGTAATAACCTTTTGTAGCTTACACTATACGCACAGGGTGTCAATGGATGTCTGCTGGATATCTGTCAAATTATGTATACACCATAATATGATATAACACAACTTTTATGTATTAAAAAAAATCCCTTTTCTTGGTCTCTCAATTGTTTTTTTTTCTGTTTTGTTTTTTTTTGTAAATTTCAATTAACTTTTTGATAAAATGTAAATTAATTTAGTTGAAACTTCCTACCTTTTGTGAAACATCAATAAAGTATTTTGGCTAAAAGTTTGAAGATTACAGAGGCATAAATCAGAGCAGATGTGAAATATGATAATTTTTGGTACTACATATTTATACTAGGTACAAGTGGGTCAATAATTACATTTTACAAATATAATTATGGATGAGATTTTATTGTGGGGTCTAAAATGTCTAAAGTTTGAAAATATGTCAAGATTAAGAAGATATTGTAAATTATTCATCCATTATGATCACACAGATTTCCCAGAGGATACAAATAGTCAATGGCAGCTGTGGTTTTTTTTGGAATCTGAACTTCATAAATAAAACATTTTATATAAAGAAATAATAACTTAAAAATGCTAATGCTTTTAAGATTTAAAGAGAACACTTTATTTCACAAATTGCCTCTTTTTGGACCTGGCTAAAGTCATACAAACATACAAAACAATAACTTGAACTCCATCTCTGGTCATTTCCCACCTGACAACTTCATTCCTTCTCTGTGATTCATGACTTTCATCTCCACTCTTCACTATGCATCAAGGAGCACAGGCACAAGCTGAATGTGCTCACAGATTTCAAACCAAGATTCTGCTTCAGCTCACACAATATCTGCTATCCTGTTAAGGTTTCTTAGACCTAGTGTATTTAATCCTGTGCATTTTTATAATACAATATACCCAAGAGTTAATCAGGGCATGACACATCTAAGGTTAGGCAATTGTTCAAAGACCCTGGCTGACTCAATAAAGACTTTCATTTGTGGTTCATGACCAGTGAACATATTAGTCTCGAAAGGCTCATCAGGTTTCTGAACAGCAGCTCTGACCAAAATGAAGTCCAGAGCCGCAATCCCTTTAACCTTTGCTTCTGCACCCAGCCGGCTGCTTGAGATAAAAACATTCAATAAAAAGCAAAAGGAGATAACAAATACATTTAGACAAGGAAAGATGGTAAAGAAGAAAGAAGACATGGATGTTGAGAAAAAGGTTGTAAAACAGAACAGAATACATGTTAGATTTAGTAGAGAACTAAGTTGTCAATCTGCAAAAGATTGCGAGATGTTTGAAATATTTTTTGACAAGCTAATTATATCTTATTGCTACTATGCTATATTTGTGTCTTTTATTCAAGAGAAACATTTTTTGATGAAACATTACAAAAGTTAGAACAAAAGTATATAAGAGAGTAAATAAAAAATATTAAAAAAAACAAGATGAGATATGCTGAATTTTCTTTCAAGGATTAACTTGCCCATAAGTTTTGATGCAAGGCCTAATTTCTATTCAAGAACTATAAAAGTATGATAATTAAGATCAGTCATCTGAACTCAAAATAATAATAATCATTTTTGAAGCAGAAGTCAGTGTTAGGAAGGGAAGTGGTTGTGAAAACAGTTCTCTTAAATAAATACTTTAAAACAAAGACAATATAATCATGATGTGTAGACATTGCATCTTATTTTAGCATACATAAGAAATGTTAGCATTAGTTCTTTGTATTTCTTGAATATAGATTATAAACTCTGAAATTTCCAAATGTAATGGTGGTAAATTTAAGAACTTAAAATGATGGGCCAGATCAAACTGTCTCAACTCAACTTAGCTTTCTTGTTTTCTGCTAAAATTAGTACTTTCTTACAGTCCATGCAATTTGACAAACTAAGCTTAAACTAATTATTCCTTAAAAAAATAGAAAGGTGAAAAACTAGCACAGTCAAAGCTAACATCTTCTATTCTGCAAAAATGTCATTTAGTGTAAACAAGAATAAAAAATAAGAGAAACTGAATGAATTTGCTCTTCCACTGCTGAATCTAGCCACTAAGAATTAAACTCCATTTAAATTCTTAAGCTTAAGAATTTAAATAAATAAAGACACACCAAATATCGTGTTGTTATTCTCCCTGTTCGGTTTCTCTAAAATATAAATACAATGAAGGTGAGAGTTTGGAGAAACTCAGCACACCTCCCTCGCCTGGCCCTTGGCAGTTTGCTCTTTCGATCTTTGTTCTCCTAACCTCTATGGAGCGGGAACATCATCCATATCCTCACTAAAAGACCTTTAGTCAAAGGAAACAGCTGCTGGTCTATTTAGGCCTTAAAGCAGCAAAATACAGCAATGAAGCTTTGAAGGGAATCGTTTTGATGAGATCAGCTCTTATGACCTTCAGGTTACACAACAGAGGTGCCAATCAGTGCATGTGTGCTCTCAGCAAGAAACAGGTGAGAACCCCCACATTCCTTCAAAAAAAAAAAAACAATTACCTTTCCACTCTACCCCTCCTTCCTGTCCTTTTGTTCAACCTCTATTAACAATCCAGATAGCATCTCTCCTTGCCGGCAAGTATATTCGTTCATGCTGATTCATCGTTGTAATCTCAACTCTTTAGAATGTATCAAGCATTGAAATCACACTGGAAAAGAAGTCACATGCAAAAAATTCTGGAATGAAAATCTAATTTAGGGGGCTATATATAGATTGAAATTAAGACTAGTATATCAAGTTTTAAGTAATTTATTACAATTCCACAAAAGCGCTGAGAAGTTTGTAGGAACAAATGAGGAAAGAAAATGAAAATGTAACTATGAATTGACTAGTTGCTCACACCAAATTAAAACTGTATAATTTATCACAGTGAATAATTAATTTTGTTTGTTTAAACAAAATTTAATTAAGGGCTAGACACCTTCTGAAGAGGTAACACATAAATTTCTTACATCTCGCTTGAATCACTGCAACCCCCTGTATGTTTGTGCTTCTCAGGCATCGCTAATGCATCTGCAGTCTGTACACAATGCAGCAGCTTGCCTTGTCTGAAAGCAAAAGGTGCATTTACATTACCCTTGCACTGATTTCCTAATTCTTACAGAATTCCATTGAATATTTTACTGTTAACCTACAAGTCTTAACAGCTTGGCACCACACTGCTTATCTGATCTTCTTTCCTCTCAAGAAGAGACCAATGGCTCTTAGATCCACTGGTCAATTACTCTCAGATGCCCTCAGATTCAGATTAAAAACCAGAGGTGACTAAGTCTTTCCTGTAGTGGACACGGAGCTCTGAAACAGCCTACCTTCAAAAAGCAGAGACACTCCAATACTTGCTCTATTTAAATCTTTTCTACAAACTTTTTTTTTGGCTTACAATTCTAGCAAAGCAGGGTTTTGTGGCAACTGTCAAAAGGTGGAAGCTGCACTGCTTTGGTCCAAGGCCCACATCCTCTCGTACAAAATAGACAGGAGAGGTTGAGGGGAAAACAAAGACAACGCTGGATGGTGGACATCAAAGGGAAGGTAAGTGGGGGGGAATCTGAGGCTGTTGCCAGAGAGCAGCAGTGAAAGTCTCCAACCTACAATGATAAGGATGGGATTAGACTAAAGTAGACCTCTTCTGAGAGGTCAGAGAAGTTTCATCACATTGTGAGAAAGATGGAATTTTTGTGCTTACAACTGAAGTCAGACTGCAAGTCAAATATGGCCAAATATGGTCATGCCTATTAGGAAGAATTTCAAACTGATCACAATTCAAAAGTAAAAAGCTTCCATCCCAGTGCAATGGAGAGAGATGAAGTACAAACAACAAGGCACGCACTTACTCATTCCTAAGGGGAATACAGAGAACCTAATTAAACTAACAGTCATGTGTTTTGATTGTAGGAAGGAAACCGTACATGGATGAGCTCTCTATCAAAATGCAAATTCTATGCAGAAGCAGCATAGAAACCTTGTTGCAAGGCATTGTTTCTAGCCACATTGTCCGCCCATTTCACTCTCCGAACAAAGTCACAAGAGTTACATGTCTGTATGGAAAAAACTGTTTTGGGAGTGTTGGGAGGTGGTTTTATTGGAAGATTCTGTGCTGTGTCTGTGTTCCAAGTCCAAATGTCTGTTTTGTCTGAAGAGAAATATATTAGCTGGGATCTCATAACATGGAAGTACTGGAAAAATAGAACTGTGGTTTTAATATTAGCTTAATGCTTTTTGGCTTACTGACAGTAAGGAAAAATATTTCCACATGCCAAGAAAAAAAAAAAAGAATCATTCCACATTATTACAAACTCAGCTTCCACAGTTGTGCTTAGTGGCAGAAAAAACACATGTGTATTTTCTGATTTCATTTTGTTGACGCTGAACACCAGAAACAACTTCTGTTTCACACATTGCAATATTTTCACAGCACTGAAGTTGGATACAGCTTCCAATATCTTTCTACCTTGGTGTGATCTCTTACCACTCCCAGCAGCTTCCTCTGCTCCTTGAAAGTGGCACAGCAGCCCAGCACGCCTGTTACCATGACAATGGCTCCAGCTAGGACCAGTATGTAGGCGGAGGCAGCGTAGGTCTTGGAGGGGAGGAGGCTGATGTAGTCGCTCTTTTCCACCAAGGTCCAAACACCCACTGCCATCACAACTCCTCCTGCCAGCTAGGAGAAAAAGGCACAGGATGGATTCAGGTGTCTTTCAGTGGACAGAGCTTAAAAGCAAAACAAGTCACGTTCTGATCAAGAAAGCAGTAAAAACTGCAATAATTGAGAGGCAACTTTTTCTACAGAGAGAAAAAAGTTCACTTCAATTTTCACATTGTCTAAATCAGAATCTAAAGGACAAAAATATGTGTTCATCTAAAGAATAACTATAAAGAAGAACTTTGGTGTTATTTTCTTTACTGAAATAACAGAATGGAACAAACTGATGGATATGTGCGGCAGTCATGTTTCGTTAACAGAAAGTGCAAAGTAGCCAGGTTTTTTCATTTACCTGTGCTTCATTTTGTTAGGTGCTTAAAATGAAGTAAGTGGACTGTTTGGTATCCTTAAGTTCTCTATTTGTTTATAACAACTTTTCAGAATTGGACTAAAACATATGCTGCATTTGAGTCAATTTAGGATAATTTCATAAGTTTTGCTTTAGTGCCTTTTCAATTTTGAGTTGAAGGTAGCAGTAAAACTTTCACACTGATGCTCAGGTAAGAAAAATGTTTCTGTGGTTATTTTCATCAAAAATTCTGCTCTGAATTTGAAAGAACGGAAAAGGACAAAAATCTGAAAGGGCAACAAGGGATTTCAATTATATATATATATATATATATATATATATATATATATATATATATATAATATATATATATATATATATATATATATATATATATATATATATATAAGAAAAACATTTTTTCTTAGAAACAAAGTACAAAACATTTGCATGGAGAAAATGATTCTCAAAAAAGACTACTAACTGTGTTCTTGTAAGTATTCACAACTTTTAAAAGCAATGATCTGGCTTACATGTTTCTGAGCCTGAAACAAGACAAAGTAATCAAATACAAATTAAAATAGGAAGATTCTAACAGCAAATACTTGTCACAATTAAGAAGAGAGAATAAAGAGTCACATCAATCTAATGTAATTAACACTGACTCACTAATTACATAACGGCTCGAAAAAAAGAATCATATGTAAGACCTGAAAAAGGTGAGCAATGTAACAGAAACATTAATAACATATGCCTTAATCCGTTAGAATTAAAGAGAATGAGGTTTAAACTCTAAAATAATAACAAGGTAGAAAAGGGGTACCCTGTATTTAACAGTTAAAGTTAGTCTTTTTTTAAGAATCATTTTAACAGAGTTAAAAACTGAGTTAAAAACCAAACAATTGGATTACTAGTTAGACCATATCCACAAATATTTGAAGCTCACAAATTGGTGACACCCAGTGGTAGTAAGAGGAACATCTGAATTTCATGTTGGATAAGAGAATGTGCCCACTTATGAAAATATGCTAGAAACTCACAGGCACCCACCAGGAGTAGTATCACTTATGACCAGTAACTGAATGAAGCAAATTTATATTTTCTGTTCAGTGTCTTAATGCACACATGCCACACAATGTGCATACTTTACAGTTCCAGACTTAACTTTTCACATTTTTCAGGCTATCAAAAAGTTAAAAATCTGTTAGATTTCTACACTATTAGCAGTGAGATTAAATGAGATAACTTTAGGTTTTAAACAGTAATGATCTAATTTCTTTTGCACTCCAAATCCAGCAATCTGTAGCAGCTCAGCTAAAATTGTTTAAGTCAAATGTATTTTTACCAACAGTGCATATTTGCAGAGACATTATTATCAAATCATCTGTGACAACTCAGCATGCCCCAATGGGAACTTACCCAAAAGAGAAAGTTGAAAGTAAACAGGAGGTATTTCAGGCAGACAGTTCCACATGCTTCCTTCTTCTCCTCATAAGCCCCCATGCTGGAAAGAAACAGTAGACAGACACCCATAATCAAACTGTGATGCCAACTTGTGATTTGTTTTTAGTATACAATAAAAATTCAATTAAAACAAAAAAGCACCCAGACTTATCAAGTCTGTGCCAATCTATGGGCATATTTGACAATGATATTGATAAAAAGACTAAATCAGATTTATTCTTAAGTTAACCCATAAGCTGGAGTTATTTGCACAGTTACTTGAACAGCTAGTATACAATTCCAAGAAAAACAAAATTCACAGTCACTGAGAACAACTGTTGCTAAAAGAATTGTTATACTGTTAAATTCGACTATGGGGAAGTCAGAATTACTTCCCCATAGTGTGGGCAGAGTCAGTGAATTGAGTTATTATATCTGAATGCAGACAGCTCCATGACAGAAAAGTGAGTAAGAGCTAAAGGTTGGAACAGGCTGGAATTAATGAATAATCTCCAACTTCTCAGGTGTTGGACATCTACTCTTTTAGGGACAAAAATGAACAAAAAAAAAACAAACAAAACAAAACATTGTTTTCTGCTAATGAAAAGTGCAGCTAAAAAAACAGAGCTAAAAACAGCTTCACTAACTCTTATGTTCTTAAATTAACAATTTAATCTCTAAGATACTATTTCAAGAGTTTAAAAAATTGTTAAAATCTAAATTTCCTAAGAAATATAGATTACCAATGGCACTTTCAATACTAGTAATTTGATGTTTAAAAAGGCAAACATGCTCAAAAACTTTCAATAACCTCTTTAATCTTTTTCATAATTTCTAATCTCTTCTCCATTTTGTAAAAATAATGGTGATCTCATGTGCTGCTTGCTAGACTACACGCATTATGTGCCTTACTAAATTTTAAAACCTATTTTTAATCATTGTTATTGACGTTTTCTATTTCTCAATAAATTGAGGTTGTTTTCTTCTCCAGCACTACCTTCAGCCATAGAGAGGTTATAGAAATAAATGAATGGAAAGTTTTAAAATATAACCAATCTGATTGTATCCATTTTAAAAATATTCTAATTAGAGAGCCATCTCGTCACAGTTGCCCTACAAGCTAAGGTTTGAAGAGTGAGTAATGAATAATACACTTTGCAATGACTAAAGCTGTGTTTCTGGTAACTGTGCTCTTTACACCTAGCTTTTTTAAACCCACAGTTTTCTTGGATAATTTCCCAGTCAAGCCCAAACTCGTGCTTCCTCCTTCTCCACCTCATTGTCTCATCCTGACTCTCTCGTCTCCTTTCCCCACCCCCACATTTACAATGCAGTCTGTTTCTATGTGGCCACGCATATGACAGAGTGACAGAGTGTGGCTGCTCTCCATCTGTTACAGTGGGGCCTTTTAGTGTGCTCCTGTTAATTAAATTCAAACAAGACGTAACTGCCAACGCTGTCTTTTCTTTCCAGTGCACAACACAAAAACTGCTGAATAAAGATATTTCTTTGAATGCCTGTGAGCTTTTCTTTCAAATGAATCTGGATGGCTTGTGGATCTAATTAAGCATTTTCTTCATTACTCAGATAAGCATTAGGCAAGAAATATCTCTGTTAAAGTCAGTGCTGCCTGTCTGTTTGACAGAGCTGCAACGGCACCATAATTTCAGCTCTTAGGATTTATTTGAAGATTTACAGTGTCTTAAACAATGCCAGAGTAACCATCCATTGTACACTTGCACAAGAGAAGCTATCCTTAGTCAAAATAATTAGACATATGATAAATTTAGCAATCCTTTCAATCCAGTTATTTCACCTCCACTGTCACTTTTAGAGAATTAATGCCATAATAATCTGACACTGGGATTATTTGTTAGTTTTCAGCTTCAACTATGATTTCCTATAGTTACATATAAAATCAAAATATATGAGTTTGAACCACTTATTTATATCTTAAAAGAAAGAAAAACAAAACTGAAAGTATGACTGGGACCATATATCAGAAATGAAGTCATTATTTAGAATATCATCACATATAACTTCAAGTTGAGATACTGTCTGATTACTTAGTGAATGATATTAAATCAAAAATTATAAAATATAGTTTATTTGAAAAAAAGTCACACAAGGAAATAACATCTAACAAAACAGTTGTTTTTTAAGATACATTAACTTCTTTCTATCATTAAGGCATAAAATAGATGGACAAAAAAATATAAATTGTGGAATGTATTTTCTGCATTAGACTTTGCGTTCAATATGCACTCAATTCACATTTTTCCTTGATGTCACCAGATAATCACTGAATAAATGTTAACAAAAGAAAAGAAAGGTTTAGATTTAGAGTAAGTAAAATTAGTAATCACAACTTTAAAATAATAATAAAAAAATCTGTTTGCATATCATATCTATGGCATGGCATTATGAAAGCCAGTTCTACTTTATAGAAAGTAAAATCTCAGCAAGAAAACAGAAAAAAAAAGTTTTCGAGTTTTCTTCTAAAAACATACATGAAGAGTAGTGCACTGAGGGCCAATATGTTAGTAGCATAACTTGCATGCATTGCAACCGAAGTATAATATTCAGCCAATAACATATTGGCTGATGTTAGTAATTTTTAAATATGAGAGTGTCGGTCGGATAATTAAAACGGGGTTGATGTGTGTTGGTTTTTCGACTCTAAGTGATCATATTTTACCCAGGTCATATGTTAAACATTGATATACCAAGCATGGCGTATTCTTCCAAAATGCAAATAAACCATAAATGGAAACATTAGGCATAAATGAAATCACAGATCAAATAGCAGTAAGTTTAAAAATGGCTCCAATGACTCATGCAAACCTGGAAAACCACTGGAATGGAACACAAAGTACAACTTTCCTGAAGTTTCTTGAAGGGTCTAAATTTACAATTAACATTTTATATTTTGGATTAATCCCGGAATGTCAAGTGTCTCCACCAAAATGCTGGTTACATGACTGTACTCCAGAAAACAAAAACAGTTTTCTGGACTGTTAAAGCCAAGCTCTGTGCGAGCTAGCGCTACAGCTGAATGGGCTGATATAACTCGCAGGGAAAATGGTTTGTTTTTAAGCAACGCCGCCCACTAAAAACTAATGAAGACAGTTTTTGTGTTCAACTGCGGAACGTTTCATCAACTAAACCCATATTATGTCTATAACTAAACGAAGGTCGACAGCAGCTTCGTCTGTAGTGTTTACTAACTAACCCGCAGTCTGGACTCGCGTTGACCACATACTACTTCCTGTTTTCACTCACCTGCTATTTCTTCTGTCTTCTATTTCTACAACGAGATGAAATATATGATCAATATATTACTAAACGTGGCTTATGTTCATTCCACGTTGACCTGAAAGAAGCTACGCTGAGAAGAGACTAGGAAGGGGGGGAAAAATCTGTGCGAGGCTCAGAAAAAGAGGCTGGAGCAGCTTCAGGAGACTCCTCCCTATGCCACCTTGTTTCTTGGTTTTCATGTCCTGAGGGGAAGAATAGACTTCATCAGGCGTGGCAGAAAAGTCTTCCTCATGGGAGGGGATTCAGACTTTTTAATTTCAGAATTCAGACTACTCGACTATAGGCTATATAAAAAATAAATAAATAATAAAAAAATAATAATAAAAAAATAATAATAATAATAATAATAATAATAATAATAATAATAATAATAATAATAATAATAATAATTTTTTTTTTTAAAAAGGAAAAAGAAAAGAAAAAAAACTTGAAAGGTTTTCAAAAAGTTAAAATTCTGATTATAGCCAGAATTCATCTCTGGGCAGTCATTTTTCACATGGGCCATTCACTGGTTGCAGAATGTGTGGTTACTTTGTAGCAATCACATTACCTCCACATTTCATTGATGCAGCAGCCAATCTGGCAAATTAATATGTGTATCTCAATTATGCATGGATGTTTTTACTGAAGAACAAAACAATTGGGAAAGGAATGTGCAAAGTTATTTGAATGTAACCATTTGTGCTTCTTGTGTGTAATAGTACAGGCTTACCACTAGATGACAACAGTTGCTTTAAAACTTGACTGGAATCCTTACCGTAATCTTGAAGGGAAATGTGACAGAATGACCTAGAAAACGGCTCACCTTTATTTACATGAACTGTATCCTGCATAGTTTAGTGTAGGTTATAAAATATCAGTTTAATTTACAAAACAAGTCAATATAATGCATATACATCAACATAAAGAAGCAATTCAGTAGTTTATGGAAACATTTAAGCTATATAAGAAATGAAACACAATCAGCACAGGTAGAAAATTTAATCAGGCTTGAGATTTTACATGCTTTCCACACATTTCCCCATGGCCTGATTGAGATCTAAAACAAGTCCAAATATTTTTAAATGGACAAAACCATAAAAACAGAAATTTAACATCATCTGCTGGTACATGGGTCTGTATAAAAAGAGTGTCCTGAAGCGCATGATGACACAAATCTCTTGCGTGTTTATTAGAGAGGTGAAAGGATAAAAGCTGCTCCAAGGACACAAGCTGTCAGTCTGCGCCACACTATGTTGTTTATGGCCACATGCGTCCCTCAGAGAGACACAAAGAACTTCAGCAACTGAGATTACCCCTCCACTAGAGGTTTGTATTTTGTTTTGCCATAATTTTTTTAGATGGTAGGATATTATATGTTCTATATACTGAAGGCATCAAAGAGATTTTAAATAAGGAGATGTCATAGAACAGTACTAAAAACTGCAGGCTGAGAGCATACTAACGATAGCTGCTTGCTTGGTTACATTGCTATTCTTTTGAGGTGAGTAATTCACGTAAGAGCAGCTACAATATTTTTCATTCAAAGGTGTATGTAAGAAGAGGTGTAAGACAACATTTCCAATTCTTCTTTAAAAATTTCTGATGTGCTGTTATGATCCGTCAAAAATGTAGATGCCTGTCGTTGCCTGCATGTGGTTAGTGTGCGGTTTTATGTGCAAAGAAGCCACTAATACCACTAACCTAAACTCTGAGTAGGCCAGCTTTCAAGAGTAAGTCGCCTTCTCCTCCATAGCCGAGTGTTTGGAAGTACCCCTAATCTTCCTCACACCTGCCATGCTATAAATACTGGGACCGTGAGAGGATCCAGCAGGTGTCACTGTAACAGGTCCATATTGATAACTTCATGAGAGGAAGCAAGGACCACGAATAACACTGAGAAACAGAAATATTAGTGAAGACAAGATTAGATTTCTCTTTAATCTACAAAATAACACCTTTGGGGTTTTTTTTAGTCCTGGAATAAATGAAGATAAAGCTGTTTTTTGACAATTAAAAAGTAATTTCAACAGAAAATTAGTCTATGGAGATAATTAACTTTATATTTAAAAACTGAATTAATTTCCACCTAGTTCTTGGTGTGGATGCTCCAAATGATGTCAATAATTGTTTTTCATTTAATTTAATGTCATAAACATATGTTGCATTTATTACATGTTTATTACATGTACAGATTCCTTTAAAGTCTAGCTTTCTTTCCTCAGTCTTTAAAAGCATGCAAAATGTAAAATATTCTAAATGTTTTTTGTAAGTTACAGCAGTTTAAAGGTGTAACAGCTTTAATTGAATTAATCTGTTGTTTCCTTCCACAGCACATCTGCCCTTTTTCCCTCGAGACAATGATGTCTCACCAGTTCTGATATGCAAGTCTGCAGATTGAACTGCACAGCTGCATCTGCGGGATTTGTTGCAGTCAAATGTAACATGTTGACATCTCTGAATGGTTGGCAGCTCATCTCCAAACCAAAACTTGCCTTCCTGTTTGAGAGTGCTTCTGTTTTTCCAAAATAAACTGAATTCAACCAAACAACATGGAATGAAGCAGTAATGTTATATCAAATGAACTTGATCTGCATTTGGGAGAGCAGGACCATTTGAATGCCTCACTGAGGCATCCAAACTGTCAAACCTGCCTCGTCCAGGTTGATGTTTCCCTGTGGTGGGATTGAGGGAGTGCTGCAGCCTTGGATCCACAGTGGAACCACAATCCACCTGGGCACCCAGCCTATGGGTCGGAGATGCTCCATGCCAGCAACTACTCCCTGGTGTTGTTGATTCAGCTCAGTTTGCTCTGTTTTGACCTGTTTGTCAACTCCTTCAGTGAACTGTTAAGGACCGAGCCCACAGTCCAGTTGGTGCTTTTCATGTGAGTCAAACTTTTTTAAGGTTTCAGCAGGGTAGCAGTAATAGTTAAACAGCTCCTTATATTGATACGAGAATGAGATCTTTGTCCTTGTTGTTTTCATGGCTGCCAGTTACATAAATATATTTCCTTCCCACAGCATGCAGGACATTTGCATCTTATTTAACCTGATCATCATTCTGCTGATGCTATTCAACACCTACGTGTTCCAGGTTGGCCTGGTTGCCATACTGCTGGAGCGATTTAGAGCCCTGATAATGCTCTCCGCTCTCTACTTGATCTTCAGTATCATACTCCATTCCTGGCTTATGGTAAAGACAAGAACAAATGAATACAACATAAAAACAAATACAAGTTTGATACATGTTTTCTTTTTGTTTTATCAAGAAAAACTTATGAAGAGATCCTGTATAAAAGATTACTTAGAACAAAAAAAAAAAAACCCATAAAGAGTAAAAAACAAATTTTTGATTTTGGGAAAAGAAAAGACTGTTGATTGTTTTAGCTTTCATTCAATTTCTTTTATTTGTTATGACTGATATGAGTGCAGCATGGCTTTACTTGTATTGCAGGTTAACTAAAGGAATGGCATTAATTATGTTTTCTTACACATTGATTTCAGAATCTGCGCTGGCTAAACACAAACCGATTTATCTGGACAGACGGTCTTCAGGTGCTGTTTGTGTTTCAAAGATCTGGTAAGATTATTTAAATTTTACATCTTAAAAATCATCCAAATAATTGGTTTGTCTTAGTATAATGTCAAATTGAAATTATAGTGCCTTGCAAAAAGTATTTGTTCTGCTTGAACATTTTCAAATGTTTTGATTTTGCAACCCAGTGTCTTCAAAGTGTCTTATACTTGCTTTGACAGAACAATGTAAGTGTAAAATTGTAAAGATGGAAACAAAGGTTAAATATATGTAATTTCATAATTTATTTATTCAGCTTATTTTACTCTGAAATTCCCGAGCAAAATCATCACCAAGAAAAAAATCACCAATTACAGCTCGCAAAACAAGAATTAAACTTATCATATGTTGTGTTGTGGTAAAAACACAACTTTAGATATATTTCTGAAGATGCCAAAGACATCAAATTCTCTCCACATGGTGGTATCAACTCAGACATTCACATGCAAAGAAATCAAACCAGAGTGTAATAAGGCAGTATTATAAAGAGGAAAAGTATTGAACATAAGAAGAAAAGAAGGCATAAAAAGGCAAAACAGTACATTACAAAACAGTCATGTAGATTTAACAGTCATGTAGTCATGTAGATTTAATTGAACAAGATAATATAATCTTGTTCAATCCCAAATGAAAAGAATTGAAACTAAAAAGAATGGATTTAAATCACATCAGAGCAATATGTGTGACTAGTTTCTTCATGCATGAGTTGTTTTTTCTGGCAGAAACAAAAGCTTTTGACTGAAGTATTAAATAAATTTCATAATTAATGTTTTTTTCCTATGTATTTTTTAAATTACACTTATGAACATCTATAGCTTGATTTCTTTGCATCCTTGGAATGTAGCTATTATTTCTGACATTGTGGGAATTTCATGCCAATTGCACCTTCAGAAAAATACTGGCATACAGAATTATTATGTATTCAGTCCCTATTGGACTGAAGCCCCTTGAAAGGCTGTTAACACCATTGTAAACTGCGTGATTGTGAGTGTGAATAAAAATACCAATAGGTATTTAGTTCCATATAACACAGTCGGAGTGTAACCTGTAAACCTTTGTGGATGCAAAGGCAAGAACCCCCCACTTGATGTCTTTGTGTTTGTTATGATGTGAATCACATTGAAATGCCTTGCTGTTGAAATGTTATATACAAATAAAATTTTATTGATTCATTGATTGATATTGTATTTGCTATATTTTGCAAAGGAAAATGTGACAAATCTTTGTTTTTTATAAAGTTGGTAGAGACATTCAAAAGTCTTCCAGTTATAATAATAGAGAAAGACTTATGGCAATAAGAGGGGGGGACTTTGTGCTGGTTTATTTCAGAGCTCCAAAAATACATATGAAATAATAAGTATGAACAATTTTAATATCATACAAGGCACTGTCCTTTAACATGAATAGAATAATTTATCCACCTTTTAAAATACAATTTACCTTATACAAATAAGAAAACATGGATGGTTTTGGATATTTTAAAGCATTCTTGTTTTTGACTCTACCCTTGTCTCTGGTAAAATTAACAATTCCAATCAAAGATTTAATATAGAATTATGCCTCTGATGATTACCAAAAAGTGCTCAAATTGGATCCTCGATGTGTTTAGAGAAGATTTATAGTAAGTATACTACATTCTTAACCTTGTTTGTTTTCCATCTGTGTAGCTTCTGTGTTGTACTACTACTTCTACAAGCGGACCGCAGAGTATCTGGGGGACCCTCGTCTCTATGAGGATTCACCATGGCTGAGAGAAGTGTTTGTTCGGTCAAGGCAGTGATCAGGAATGTACAGAGAGATACCAAAAGCCATGGCTCTAGTGGCACTGTGAAGAAATTACCCATGAATGACGGTAAAAAATTTTAACTCTGGCTGTTTTAATTCACCTTGATTTTAGGTTGAGAAAAAAATTACTTGGCATCCTTTTAGAACTTAGTAAATAACTAATTCACAAACTGGAAGAGAATACAAATGAAATGTATTTATTGAAACATGAGAAAATGTTCAACATGACAGCCCAAAAATATAATCCATTTGACATGTCCTTACTCTGGAGAATTGTGCCAAATTTTAAAGTATTTCAGGTATGTATTGAAATTGTAAAATGACTGACTAAACAGTGTAGAATTATGAATTATTTTGTAAAAATCACCATATTAAGTATATGTTACTTACACACAGAACACATCACAACTTAACTTTAAATGCTATTCTAATGTTTATGACCATGTAAAATCATATATTGCATTGTAATTTTCACATTTCATTTATACAACTTTGCAGAATTACAGAATCTCAGATGTACAAACCAGGTGACTGATTTTTGCAAAATACATTTCATTACACAATGCTACATGTTATTTTATGAAACTAAACTTTTTGATGCAGTCCTTTGAAAACAATTTAATAGTTTTATATGTATTTAAGACTATTTGTGCTGTTCTGAGTTAAATTTTTATGGCTTGATCAGCCCCCTTTTTGACACCTTCATTTGTTTTATTTCAAGACACAATAAAAATGAAATAAAATTTTATCTGAAATATATGTCTAATGCAATGCTGTCTTCATAAAATGTGTTTTGTTAAACTGTTTCAACCTCTGCTTGAGAACTTGCATTGAAGCACAATGCCAGTTTACTCATCCGAGTCTGATGCTTCGCCTCACTGATCTCTTCAATCAGAGATGAGTCCTGCAAGTCAAACTGTGAATCAAGAAAAAAAAAAACAGAAAGAATTTGAAACACTATTTTTTTTTGCATCTGCTACAAAAAATACTATGTAAATGCTCTGGGTAACTATGCTATGAAGGGAAACAGTTTCTGTGTAAATAAACACAAACTGCAAATTGGAAACACAAACTGACATAATGTTCATAAGTAAATAGATTAGAAAAGGACGTACTTTATTGATCCTCACAGGGAAATTTCTTAGTTGTTCTCAAGACTGTGTGGTGTGTTAGTGTGTGTCAGCAAATGTACTCATTAACATACTGAAATAGCTAATTGTAAGTCATTAAAAGCATTAACAGATCTTCATGAAAAAAACTCACTTACACAGATTGCATTTTTATAATATTCATCCCCCTCTTCTAGTCGCCCAGACTGAGAAAAAAGTAAAAGTATATGATTAATGCAGCTGTAGACAGTAAGGATTAGGGTAACATTTTCTTTTCAATTCAAACTATAATAGCGGAATAGAGAACATATGTACTGTATTTTTTTTGTCCTTTAGAATTACACTAATTTAACAGTTTTAAAGTCCGTCTCCAGCTTTACAACAAACCCCATCCACTATTTTGAATCATTTCTGACTTGTACTTCAGTGTCTATTTCATGCAAATACACCCTGTTTGTGTCTATTTGCGTGTTTTGTTTTTCCTCATCAATATTAAGTAAAATTTCTCCAGAAATAGATGCCAACATTGTGCTGCTGCAATACGTCTTACATGTTAGTGTAAGAAAATGTTTTTGCTAAGTACAAAAAAAAATAATAAGAAAATGAGTCCAAAAACTGGTATAGCCTGTCCTGCAAACCCCCCACAGAGGTAGGACCAGAACTGAAATTGATTGTGGGTTTAAGGCATAGTAATCACTCACCTTAAAGCTGATTAAAGACAGGTAAGCCCACACCTCTGCATTTGCTGAGTTCAAAAGAGTGGCCACCCCTAAAGCTTCCTCAGCAACACACAGCTCCCCCAACTACACAAAAACAATCAAAGACTTGAATTTTTTCAATGTCAACAAGACTCTTCCTTTCCTAGAAATAACAGTGTATGTCTGTTTGACAGAACACAAATAAAATGTTCCTAAATTGGGTGTTTATCTCCACTGTCACCAGCTCTTCTAAACAGAATCTAACATTTCATAATATATCATTTTAAACTTGTTCAATATAGAAAATCTTCATGAAACTAATTTAAAAGCTTAAGAAAATTTAACTAAAGGCACTTTTTCATTATTACCAATGTGAATTTTTTACCCTGTAGCAGGCTTTGGCGATGCCCAACCAGGTCAGGCACGATGGGGACTGCTCACATGCCTGCAGGAAGACTTCTTTGGCTTGTATAAACTGAAGAATAAATATCATAAACATAGAGTTAGTGACAAAAAAATAATATATTTTTTAAACATATTAAAAAAATATGCAAAACCTTTTCATTTCAGAGTTGTGGAGAGAAATGTAATCTTATATCTCACTTATAAGAAAATGAAATTACCGACATCTAACCTTTTCCTCAAGAATATAGATAGCTCCCAGGCGAAGAAGAACAATGTGAGTGCCTGAAGGTTGTTCTGGAAAGACCATGCTCCACTCATAACACTCCCGGGCTTCAGTAAATGCGCCTTGCAGGTAGTGGCAGTGACCTTTCAAGGCCCAGGCATCTGGGTTCTGATCATACCATGGACAATTATTTCAAGGTTAGCTGTAGATGTGTTTGTCTAAAACCTTGAAAACATTTGTGCTAGATTATGCCATAAAATAATGAATAAAATGTAAGAAGATAAGAAGAAAATTTAGAACCCTACAAATGCCATTTGCTGTAAAATAAGAAGGCAGAATCCATAGTTAAGGTCCCATTTTCCAACTTGCCAGTTTTTCTGAATGATGTTATTTTAAGTTTAAATTGAAATCTTAAGAAATCAAAATTAGAAAGGTCTAGATTACACTACTATTATGTTTATGGAAACACTGATTAACACCTTTCTATTCAAGAAATGGAGGCTTAAGTGTACATCTAAATGTACATTTCCACAAAAATAACTGCAGAACTGCAGTGATTTGTTGAAGGAGAATTCTTTTATTGCTTTAAAAGGGCAATGATATTACCAAACATATCTTGTAGCTGATCCAATCTTACAATTTCAGAGGTTTAAAGGTTTTTGCTGAGAACAACAAAGCAGTATAATTGAATTTTATAACTGGAGAAGAAACACTTTATGCACCAAAGGGTGATATTTCACCTTTTATTGAGCTCACACATTTCTAAACATGCTCCACTTTAAAAAGGAAATGGTTAAAAGGAACTTTTGAAGAATTGTGGTACATCTTGGACAGTTCAGGATTAAGCAACATCATATAAAACACTCTGATGTGTGCTTTATTTCTTAAGATTTATGTTAAATCTAAAATAAAAGAGAAGGAGTCACTAAATAGACTATTACAGAAATTACATGGAAAATACATGGCAGAGGTCTTTTTGTCTTAAATTGATAAAAAGGAAATGTGGCAGTACCTGACTTTTGTAAAACAATGCTTCTTTCAGGTTGTCAATAGCACTGCTGTAGTCACCTTTGAGTAGCTGTAACTGGGCTTGGCTATAATAGTAGGCAACAGTGTAACCTCCTTTAGAACCCAGCACCTCTTGGGACAAAGTGCATTCTGCCATCTACCAAAAGAGCACAGTTAGTTCTAAAACTATTTATTTCATCTTGTTGATTTTTACAGCTCAGAATTTGAGTATCCAAATGTTTATTTATTGAATGATACAGTGTTTGCAATATCAAACTATTTTTTGGACTTTCCATTATGTTTTATCACAACACAAACACTGTTTTACTGCTATGACCTAGAAAGGACAAATGATTTGACAGTATTTAAACAAAGTGTTCCCTCAAAGTGTGGGATCAAACACTGCTAAATCAAACAGGGTTGAATACCTGTAGGGCATTGTTCTGCAGCAAGAACTTCACTGTTTGTGTGAAAATGGAAGCGGTGAATTTAGTTGGCATTTTCCACATTCTGTCACTATGACATGACGACTCTCCGCTGTCATCCATGTCATGGTCTGGGTACTCAAGGTCTATCAGAAAAATACCATCAGTCTTAAATCCGCTGTCATGTGCGGCTTATATTTTACCTTGCACCTGGACGCTCACTCTGATGTTACAACTCACCGTGCTCAGCTGTTGGAGGTGGTGCAGGATTATCTGTCTCCTGTTCATCCTGTTGGGCCTTCACTTCCTCAGTGTTGTCCTCGCTTGGTTTAGTCTTGTCATCTACATTTGCCTTGTTTGCTTCCTCTTCCCCAAGAATCTTTTTGGCCTCTAGAAATGCTCTTTCAGGCAGTAAGGTTTCATTTAGACTTAAATGGATCAAACCTAGAAGGCAGATCCCAACATAAATGCAAAGTTACAATATGTACATTGTGTACATTACGCCTGCTTTTAATTATGATTTGTTAGAGGTAAAGTAAAAATGGATATAATTCTCTTAAGAATGACATTTGCACTAGACCTTTTTACTTTCTGGACTGTACACCTCAATGTTGCTGATTTTAAAATTTGTGCTTCAGTGTATTTTATTTGATCTGTTGTTTGCACCATTTCTGTAAACATTGTCATATAGAAATTGCAAGCATCTTCTGTTTAAGAATTGCTTAATTTAAAAACATAATTGTTGTAGAGTTCCCTCAACATTCTATATATCTAAATGTTTTATTTCAGTAGTATAATCTCACACTGAACATAAAAACTGCAATATTTGTATTAAAATGTCCAATATTTTGGCAAACAACCTGATGTATGTAGATCCTTAATGATATATAACAGTGATACAAAGGTCTGCCACTATTTTTTTACTTTAACCCGACAGTGCACTGATTAAAGACAATACATTTATCTCAATCAATGAGCAATTGTTCCTTTGTAAAGTTCAAATCTTTAGGAATTTATCACACAAACAAATAAAAACCTCTACCTTTCAGGCATCAGTGTAAGTATATAGATCTGAGCAAATGGATTTAAGAAAATAGCAGACACAAGCACAGTTCATTTAAATATTGTTGTAGATCACTAGACTTCACCCCATTGTGGAAAATATGTGCACCAATGGCCCCAACATTGGTGAGGAATCCTGATTGTAAACTGACCCATCAGTGTCCAGGCCTCCACACTGGGTTGTTCTAGGATGGTGGCTCGCTCCAAGAAGGTCAGAGCTTCATTGTAACGTTCAAACATTGCGGCCACAACCCCACACATCATCAGGCTGGATAAATAAGCAAAAACAGAAACAAACTATTCTACCAACTGTAGTTTTTTAAGACTTGATCATCAAAGAGAGAAACATTTATATATATTACTAACTATACAAACCTAACTAATTAAAACATAATTTTGCTTAGATGAATTCAAAATCTGCAGCATAAATGAAGCACTTCTAACCTGGGCTGGTGTGTTTGCTGGATGGATACAGCATCATAGTAACACTCTTTTGCTTTCATGTAGTCCCCGATCAACATGTACAGACTTCCCCACTCAAACTTGTACAAAGGTTCATCAGGGTGCCTCACCACCAACTGTCGGTAAAAAAACCCCACAGTTCCCAGTTAGTCTACCAGTCAGATTCATCTGCTTCCTTCACTGCTGTGTTTAAGATCTTAGATCCATTTTTTCCTGTTTTTGTACCTCTTGGTAGTACTGAGCCGCCTGTTGATAATTGCCTGTAAGTTGTGCCTCTTTAGCAAAATGTCTCAGCTGACTAGATTCCAACTTCATTTCATCAGTGCAGTCTTCTGCCACATCACTGGAATAAATCTGCAGAGGAGGTGAAGATAAAGATCATTAAAAAATCTAAACAATGTCCTTAAACAAATGATAGCGATGGTAATACCTTGTTGAGAGCCACATGCATTTCATCCACTAGGTAGACATAGAGCTTGCTGACAAATTCTTTAATCTCTTGAGGATCAGTGAGAGGTTTGGACCGCTGCATTTTGTCACGTACAATCTTTATCACTGCTTGCTATAAGCCATAAACACACAAATATATTTATTGAATTTGACGAATTAAGATCCCTTCACAAAAAGAACAAAACAAAAAAAACATTTTATTAATACATATATCATAGATTCAGCCAAAGAAATCATTTTAAACCTCTAACCTTGATCTGCTCCTTGAAGGTGAAGTATCTTCCAGAGACATTAAGACCTCCCATCACCTCAGCCAAAATTTGCTCTTTGCTAAGGCTTTCCTGCAACTTGCTATTTGCTCCAAATAATTCGGTAAACTGTGCAGAGACAGCAGCCACTGCATTTTCTACTTGGGTGTGGAAGTCCAGCACGGCCTACAAGAGCACACATCAGAGACAAGAAATCTGAGAGTGAGAAACCTTTCCTGACTGCAAGAGGCATATTTTTAGACATATTAGGCATATTTTTATTGAAATGCATCTGAGTTTCTCACCTTTTCTGCTCTGCTCGGACCAGGTGGACGTTTGGGTTTAGGGGGGATCAGTGCCTTCACCCTGCAGGATTTGGAAACACTTGTTTTAAATTCACATTCAGAAAGGAACAAAAAGAAAAACATAAGGAAGTAACCTGACATCTTACCAGATGTTTAAGGCCTGAATGATTATGTTAATTCAGAGAAGAACTCATTAGATTACACTAATGATCATCAAAGGTGTCATGATGGATGTTTTTTAATGTTTTGACTGTTGAACTAAAGCATAGTCTTTCAGTAATACCACTTGGACTTCTTTCTGTATTACACATTTGTTGAATCTTTATTTCCATGGTAACTGGATGAGCCATGACAGGTAAAAATTATTCCTCATGTGCAAATACACAGTTACAGCAGCTGTTTGAGTGATTATGATCTCTGCATATGTGTGAATAAACTGAGAGAGATGAGGGAAAGCGAACAGAAATAAATATATTACTATTACAGTAATTTTTTTATTGTCTCCATGTGGTGAATGAGTTTTTATTAAATTCTTGGGTTCATTTGTTCAAATGAATTGAAGTCATTATTATGTTTTTTGAAATATGGCACATCTTTTATTACTTCCATTTTTGAATACATAAAAGATGGTTTTCCAGACAACTTATGTATCTACTTGTGTGCTTCTATGTTTTGAGAAAACATATAAGCTAGCTTTTTTGACAAAAGAAAATTAAGAAAGTAAATAATAATAGCAAATTCTGAATCATCAAATAAATGTAGAATTTGTTTTTTCCTTTTGCAGAAATAAAATGTAAAAGTGACCCACATTATAACACAATAACTGTGACCATCTGAAAATCTTCTTAACCTTAGAAGTTTTTAAACTTTTCTTATTTAGTATGTGTTAAGGTGTAAAATTTTCACAAGAGATGAGGTTACTGACATGGGGATTAATTGCAGTGCCTAACTGTGTTAATGCATATTACCTTCGAGCCAATTCCTCAGGGGATGGTTTTGGTAGCAGTGGTCTATTCAAGGACATCTCAAAAATAACATATGTTCTGGCTTCCAAGTACATCTGTAAATGACAACAAAGGTAAAAGACTAAAGTAAAAATCCACAAAGCAAAAGTTCGAATGGGTCTCTGCTAGTCTACGTTGCAACTAAAATCAAAGTGTGTAGCACAGAATACTTAATAATAACATCATGTTTTTGTCAGTGCTACCAGAGAACCAAGCTGGCTTTATCAGAAACTTACATTTCCTTCTACATTGACTTTTGTCTCAGATTCAGATGCGCTATCGGGAGTTTCATCAGGTATGGTAGCCTTGGATGGAAGGACACTCTGCTGCCATATTGAAAAATATCACACTGTTACATGTACAAGAAAACATTTCTCATTGCAAATGTAAATTTAACTTTGCAGTGATAACTCATCCTTAAAAATCAGCACATTCCTCACCTTTTTAGACTGGTCCTTGACTCCCTTGCTGCTTGCTTCATAGCTCTTTGCTCCTTTTTTGGGAGTTGCTACTGCTAAGCTTGCTCGAGATTTGGCTAGGACAGTTGCTACTTTAGCCTGTTCCTTTAACACACTGGTTTTCCGCTTGGTCTATAAGTTTAAAATCAATACTAAGTTCATTTTAACAAGAAGTAAAAGAAGAAACCAGAAATAAATGTAAATATCTGTGTTTTTGACAATGTTTTTAAGACCTTGTTCAGAAGCTCACTCTCATAGAAAGGATGAACAGTGTATGCTCCTCTGATGCGAGAGACTCCAGGGAACAACAACCGCCCCATGTCAACAAATATCAAACCATGGAAGGGGATCTCCGGGTTCTCATCACCTAACTACAAACAGAGACAATTAAAACATTCATCTGCAGTTCAGCGGTAGCATGATTAACGGAACGGCTGCCACTTTGTTTTCCCCAAACAGTTATCTTTTTAGCAGTACTAAAATATCAGCAGCAAATGAGAAATGTTTTTTATTACCCTTGATAGTGGAACCGAAGTCCTCATTAATTCCATTGGCCACAGTCGGCTCTCTGTAATTTTTTCTTTCAATCTACAAATATAATCAAAATACAATTTTCAGTAGTTTGAGTCTAATTTTTTAAAATGTTGACATTTTAAAATTTATCTCAATTTTTAAAAAATGTATCTCAACCTAAAGAAGGATATTCCAGTGGGCTTGTTTCAGAATATAAGACATTAATTTCTTAATTTGTTCACAATGTAGCACTATTTTTTTCTCCATTTGAATCATGGAGCAAAACTCACTGTTTTCTAGAAACTGAATTTTGTGAAAAACCTAAGTTTACTTGAGTTTTGGGGGAGATTATCTCTTTTGTTCTTAAGAACAAATGTATTAGAATTTTATATCAATTAAGGGTTGAAATGCCTCATTAAAGACTTTAACTTTGCAAAAACAAAAGTTGAATGTCCAGCTGACCTGGAAGCGCCACTGGCATCCAGGAAGCATCGAATCTCTGTGTCCCAGCTCACTCTGTTCTTTGTAATCTCTGCTTCATCACGGAATAGCAGGTCCTGCATGAACATTCAGGTCTTCAAATTTCCTTGTGTGTTCAAATCTTACTCTGATAGCAATAGCTAAGTTTGTTTCTACAATTGTTTAAAGGTACTATTAGATGAAAATTCAAGTAAAGAGTGTTATTTCAAGTCAACATCTTTGGTCTCACGTGGAACTTGTGCTTGTTGTTACCTCGTAATCATTAAGCTCTCCATCCTCATGATCGATGGGCTCTGGCTGGCAAAATGACCCAGGTAAAAACTGATTCCCTGGTACCAATAAAGTCTGAAGGGGCCTCCTTTTCCGACGGCCTTTGCCCTCCCTCTGCCCCCCTGGCTTCAGATGGCCTTCAGAAAACATTAGTACTTGATCATGCTAAGACACAGAGAGAGGGAAATATTTCCATATTTTCAAATTTATCATCACAGAAACATATGGACTTGTCATTCTCTACATTTTTAATGGAATAGTTGTAACACAATGTATTAGGATACAAAAGTAGAACTCACTTCTGCAGTTAGTGGAATCTCCAGGGCAGCTAAGTATGAAAAGGGGCTGTGACCTGAGCCAGTCGGCACCGTCCATGTGTCAGGCAGTGAATACGCTGTTTCCAAAGTTACCTTCATGATGATACAGGTTGATAATTCGGCTTCAGTGAGCAGAGGTTCCGACACGCTGACATAAACATCCAGGGTTGGTTGCTAAATGGGGTAAAATGATGCAGCAAACCACTGTTTAGAATTTATAGACATATTTATAAAGTAAAATATGATTGAATTCATATTCTGAGATTTGAAGTCCACCCTAAACAAAATATTTAACAACACTTTATCAAATACTGAAGACAAACAACACTACTCAAGTCATGACGTACAATACATATAAAAAGAAGAATATAAAAAATCTATTGAATAAACAATTTGTATTTTTGCTTAAATAAATGTGGGACAATGTAAAGATTGAATGTCTTAGTGGCATAATGCATGTTATCTGCTGAAATCAAAACACTATCCAGTGTTAATAAACTGCAAACAGGTCCAAAGTTTCTGTGTTCATCATGAACAGTATAAGTGTTGAATGAGTAACTAACCTTACGGGTGATTCCCGGCCGAGATTCTTTAATCCCAGGATTGACCAATGGATTGATTGGAACTGTACTAAAAAAGCTGCACTGACCTGAAGGACAACAGAAAGTCATTAAATCCTTGGAAGTTGTCCCTCCTCATTCTTCAAAATCAGTTTTTGTTTATTCCTTTTATTTATTTCTGTTTATTCCACCTACATCTGCTTCTCTTTACTCTTTCGACATACCAGAGCAGAAAAATGTGTAATTTCTTAGAGGAGAAACTGTACCTTGCACTAGTGGAAATAAGTCCACCACAGCTTGGCCCAGTACCGCTGTTTTCACGTCACCTTTTTTCCCCTCATGCAGGATCTCCACTAGTGTAACTGATCACAAAATACAGAACTATTGCACTTGTGATTTAACAAAAAACGAAGTAAACACTACTAATGATGACATTAGCTGTTATATTTGATACATTAAGCTTACATGTGACTGGCTTTTGGAGAATGTCACTGAAAGACTGGGCGTCATTTGGTGGATTAAAGCTGCAGGTAAAGTCGTAATCAATAGTGTGTTTCACAGGGTTGGCCTGTTTCTTTCCTGACTCCCCCAGGTTCATTTCTTCAATCGAAACCTGCAGGAAACTCAGAAAACTGTCCCCCTTCTTCCCTTGCTGAAAACGAAACCAACATATCGCATTTAGGAATATTCCTGCCATTGGGACAGTCGGACGTTTAATCAACATTCAACAAACTTACTATGTTACGTCCACATTTTGCAGTTATCTGTATCGACACATTTGTTTTTATCGTCTCTTCAGATGTGCATACTGTTGACATTTTTAACGGAGATAAAGTTAACAAGCTAGCGCTTTCAGTTAAGTTCTAACGCAGGCCTAAGAAAACGTGTCCATGGCAACAGTGATTCAGCCAATGGTGGGTTCAAAGAGCCTCGGTTATCACGAGGCGAAAATCACAAAGTATGAAAGTAGACTACAACAGTTTACAAAGTCGTTAACAGCAAATAATTTTACTGATCATCTTGGGGCAATGGTACGTCTTCCTCAAATAAAAAGACAAAAAGGGACAGTTGTATTTTTTTTTCAATGTAGAGAAAAAGTATTAGTAAATCTACTTTTACTACTTTTACAAAAAGCTAAAAGGAGTTTTGCCATCTTAGATTTTGTAATTAAGTAAACGTGTCAGCAGGTGTCACTGTTTCTCAATTTGACTAAATGCAAAAAGCATTGCCGCATATATTTCCCTCAAATGAATAAAATAAAATATTTTGAGCATTTGCATACAATTAGTTGACTTTAAGTGTCTTAGTAAATTGCAGTGATTTATTGTATAATTCAAAACAACACCAAAATAAACAAACAAACAAACTAAAAAAGAATAACAAGTTTTCGTTACACGGCGTCCGAGAAATGATACGTCTTCTGTGCTTAAGAAACATTGGCATGTGTTAAATAATCTCTATGCAGAGTAAGACAAACCTAAGCATTTTGGGATTTTGAGTCACAGGTGCACCAATATATCAAACTTACCCTGTAAAACACCCTCCAGTACTTAGGGGGCGCTCCGAGTCTGGATTAGTGCACGTCGTTAACCTAAACGACTTCCCCAACTGTTTCCGGAAGTTTTATTATCAATGATTTTGTCACTCGTGTGAGATTTAAACACTTCTACGGTGTTTGTTCTCCGTTGCTGTCAAGATGTCTTATAACTACGTGGTAACAGCTCAGAAGCCCACGGCAGTGAACGCCTGCATCACAGGTAAATATGACTGATCCGAGCAGGACTGGGACGTTGGCAACCTGCGGGCAAATTGAGCTCCCGCGCTGCAGCCATACAGGCCTGTTGTAGCACTTAGCTGCTGGCTTTTAGCTCAAATGTTTACCTGTAATATTAGACGGAGTGCTTTATATGCAGTGTACGGCACGGCTATCTGTAATTATTTCTGCAACGCAAATACGATCAATTAAATTGTGGTTATTGTTTTTGGTTAGTTGTTTTCATATAACAGCAAATAAAAAGCGACTTATCTAGCATCTAATTAAATTGCACATAGCCGCTCCAATCTTCTAAACATAACTCTGGTACCATTTGGAGATCTCATTTGGCTTAAAATAGGCTATGACAAAGTCGAAGCAATGCTCAAAATTACGTTCTATCAAACATAATCTCACATTTTGCGATTTATCTTTTAGAACTTGGCATGGGTTCTTTTACGTTCAACTAAACATTAGCTCATGACTCGGTTTACGCAGTTACTCTAGGAGAGATTATTAACAAAGTCGTGAGAAATTTGTTTACTAGAGCAAGAAAAAACAATCTATATTTACATTATAAAATTATACACTTCTTTTGTTAGGAAGTAAATACCATTTGATAAGTTAGATGGAAGCCCAGGGTAAAAGTACACGTTTTCAATCTGTATTTTAATGTCCGAATGGTATTTTGGACTGCATAGCACTAAGAAAACATATATCTGCCAGAAGGTCTTCGGGTTCTGATCTCTCCTTCATTCACTATCCAGAGTACTGTGAATGAAGTACTCTGGATTGCTTTCACACTTCTACAGTATGGTCATTATGTAAAATTGCTTCTAAATTATATTTCCATGATTTACACAAAGCCCTACCAGCTGCTTCTCGGAGCTTCACTCAGGTAGAATTTAAAATGTTCTGCTGAGACATTTATTCCTTAGTGTGAATTTTGTTATTAAATTTATGTGCTGTCTCGATAGACCTGCTCAATATATCAACTCAGTAGTCTTATTGCTTCAAATGTCTTGAATACAAATATTGCACACTAGGGATATATCAAGCTTTTGGGATTGGCTCTTACTGCTCTCAATGCCCACAATTGATCTATATTTGTAGATAAAATACCTACAAATATTACCTGTCAAAAACCGATGGCCAAATATCTACAAATATTTGTAGATCAAACCACTAAGAATAGTGGTTGTGAAATTGAAGCTCATAAAACTTTGTAGGGACATTTTAGTTAAGGAGAAAATGGATGTTATGATAATAGATATCGGAAGGCAAAAGCATTGCAATTATATATTTTTTCTAAAATTGCATAGCCTTATTTTTGGTTGTTTTCATTTATAATAAATTCATTCATTTAAAATAAATATAGCTAAAATTCTCAACTAGAATTGTGAAAGAGAGGTCATCAATTTTTGACATAACTGTGTCAAAACCTTTTTAACGCTTTTCTCTGCTAAAAAAAAAACAATTATATCCGTCTTGTAAATGTTGCAATGTTTTTTGCAGGTCACTTCACCTCTGCTGAGGACCTTAATTTGCTCATCGCTAAAAACACACGTTTGGAGATCTATGTGGTCACAGCTGAGGGACTTAGACCTGTCAAGGAAGTTGGCATGTATGGCAAAATTGCTGTCATGGAACTCTTCCGTCCAAAGGTAGGAATTACATAAATGCATAATTCATTTGAAATGATCTTTTCTTGGTTACTTTGATGTATTTATTAAAAAAGACAAAGGAAAGCAAGTTCAAAGGCTTTTGAAAGTAATTTGTAAGTTAGTTTTTCCATTTGTCTATTTTCAGACATTCATGTTATCTTATTCTGCGTTTATATTGTACCAAACCATGTTAATGAAATGCTGAATATTTTTTACTTTTTTTCCAGGGTGAGAGCAAAGACCTACTGTTCATTCTCACATCCAAGTACAATGCATGTATCCTGGAATACAAACAGAACGGGGAGAGTATTGACATAATCACCCGTGCCCATGGCAACGTCCAGGTGGGTAAAGCCTTAAAAGTACTCGGGTGTTTTTTATTTTTATTTTTATTGTGAAGTGTTTACATTGGGGAAAGTTTACAAACTCTGTTACTTCTAGTAGCAGTAGCAAAATTTTAAATGTTTATGTCCAACCTCAAACATTCCCACATCTGTTCTTCAGGATCGCATTGGACGTCCATCAGAAACAGGGATTATTGGGATTGTTGACCCAGAATGCCGCATGATCGGTCTGAGGCTGTACGACGGATTGTTCAAGGTGATCCCATTGGACCGGGACAACCGAGAGCTAAAGGCGTTCAACATCCGGCTGGAGGAGCTGCAGGTCATCGATGTTCACTTCCTGTATGGCTGCCAGGCTCCAACCGTCTGCTTCATCTACCAGGTGCTGTGAGGTTCAACTTAATAAAAAAACACTCTTCAGATTAGGATAGGTTACACAATATGTACGGGTATTTGTTTGTCATAAGTGGTTGTCGGTTGCCAAAGCGTCTGACAGCAAGACAAAACAGCAACAGAAGAAGTTGGACAGCATGACCAGAAAGTGGATGGGTTTGCTGCAAGCGCCTGGAATGTCTGGCCTGCAGGAGTCACAGTGGTTTGTTTTGGTATCAGGCAGTACATGAACTTACCGACATTTCATGTTGCTGAGGTGTCTTGCAAGCAAACACAATTTGAAATTGTATCAAAAATTATCACCATAGTCACAACAGACTTCAGAATTCTTGTCATTTTAGCTATTAGTTTATGTCAGCTGTTTAGAAATGTTATTATGTTTTGTACTCCTTGAATTAGTGTAACAGTCATAACAGATTTAGGTAATGATATTTCAAGTGTGAAAAGACAGTAATAGTTTAACATGACACATCTTGATGTGTCATGTTAAAAAAAAAAAACAAGGCATCAACCTCCAGAAACCAAACTGTGCTTACTATTTATAGTGATGTTCTAAGCGGTGCAATCTTTTTAAGGCTGCAGCTCCAAGCAGTAGCTCAGGCTTCCTACACAGTCTGGAAAAAAAAATATGAACATTTTGTTTAAGTCTTTTTCATGCCTGGATTAGAAACAGAAAAAGGAGTATGTTAAAATATTTGGATTCCCAGACTTTGTCCCCAATCTTAAACCTCCTTCCTTCATTTTGAAACTAGAACTCAAACAACTTTCCATGTGCTTAAACATTACTGGACATTATTGACTGCTTTAAACATCAGTTCAGTGGCAAGAATGTTTTGTGTCCTACTTTAGTCAAATCATTCCTGTTTCTCTTAGGACCCTCAAGGACGTCATGTAAAGACCTATGAAGTTTCTCTGAGAGAAAAGGAGTTCAACAAGGGCCCCTGGAAACAGGAGAATGTCGAGGCTGAAGCATCCATGGTTATTCCAGGTAAATGAGAACTTCAAGTGTTCGTTTGGCTTGATTTCATGTTTCATTGTCTTCAAGCTTAAATCATGAAAACAAAAATTCTATCCAAATGAAATGAGGAAAAGGAGCCATTAGTGGTTAAATGTGAGCATTTTCATTAAACATTTCATTTGTTTAATGAAATGTTTGAAATTTTGTCAATGAGTTGGTTTCATGAGAAACTATGGAAGTTGCCAGTTTCTCCTTAATTGTCAGTGACTGGTGGTTAGCTGGTCAAATACTGCAAAGCTTAGTTTTTGTTTTCCTTTTCATGTCATAAAATGCATCACAGCTAGAGGTGTGCCAATTGATCGGCCACCGATCATAATTGTCAGAGTTCCATGACAAAGTGTGTGATAGGTGATCACTGATCACTGTCTCATGTTGCCGTTCACCAAAACCAGCTGTATCTCACTTCACAACCTGCGTGTGCAGCTAGTTTCCTCTTTCCTTCACACTGTGCAAGAGCGCAGCAAGAAATGATAAGCAATGTGATGAGGAGTTGCACCACATTGAATGGGGACATTTGTGTGTTGCGATGGAACGTTACCTGGTGTGTGAAAATTCATCAATATAACAAGTCTAATATACAACAAGGACTTGACGAAATATGGTTATATCGAGGCTCAGTGTAGGACAAAAAGAGATCCGGAGCGATCAGACAGCAGATAAAGCAGCGAGCAACTACCAACACTCACCCAGATGACCATGATGGTCAGAAAGCTAAACAAA